GTTGTCTAAGGCAAAACAATATGTATATGCATATTTTTCCAGACCGGCATATATTTGTTTACTGGTGACACCTGATTCAGTTAGCCATCAGGTTGGCCAAGGTGAAATACAGCAGTAAAGAGCAGGCGTGATACAATATGGTCATAAATGTCGAAAGTTCAGGTCTGAATACGCTGGAATATCGCGCTGTGAATATTACTCGCACGAACAGCCATTGCTACCCGTCATTTGGCAAAGTAGGATAATTCATTACTGAAGGGGGTAGCGACAAATACGAAAATCAGGTAAGTTTGGAATAAAAAATAAGCATCTATGAATTGAACATCTGAACCACTTTTCTTGGTTATATTCCCTGACTATATTTGTAATTATTAGCATATTCAGAGTATCAATAAATGAATTTGAAATTAATCAGACAGCTTTGATGACAGCTTATCGCTTTTGATCATTTAGGCCATTTGTCAGACAGTTCCACGACGTTCCCGATCATGTGCCAGCATTTGAGCTTCTGCAGAAGATAACATGAATCTGGAGCAAAGTTCTTCGACACATTTGTCCAGGTCTTTCTTGAATGTCCCCGGGGCCGAAAAAGTAGTACGTTTCGTCTTCCCTTAAGATGGCATACGTCACAACTGCCCAGACCATCGAACCTGCTGCCTCTCAATCGGCAAAAGCAGCGGCTGTCCGTCGGATGTTCAGATGTTTGAACGCCGGATCATGTCGAGACGCGCCAGTACCGCGATTCGACTCAGAAAGCCAGTTTCAGTTGTGTGTATCCGGAATCGAATTCCTCAGCCATAGTCAATGTCTCACGACCGCAGACGAGCATAGGGATGAAGATCGACTTGAAAATTAAGAGTTCATTTAGTCTTTAGAGCAGCTCTGCTTTAGTTACAGTCGTTAGAGGTAGTTCACACAGATCGCGATTACAGTTTTGGCCATTCCAATTCGCCTACTGATCTCTTCCTCAAATTTTCCATTACCAGTAAAATTGAACTTTTCCACCTGTTCCACCGCTTCTCCGTTTATGTGAAGAACGCAACGGGCAAGAGGACGAGAAAAACCAGGTCTTTGGTTTCGACACGTTCACCTGCATGCACGCCACGTCGAACTCAGCTGCGATCTTTGCAGGGACTGCTGAAGAGCAGTTTAGGAAAATGCCAACAACCTTACAGCTGCCGCACGTATATTCACATTTACCTTGTTTCTACACCTATGACGATTATTATTACACTCTTTCGTATTCAATCCTTTCGATCCTCCATCTCTGATTACTTAATATATCAGAAACCCTATTCATCATCTCTAATTTTTCTGTCGTTTACACTTTCCCTTTCATCATTTGTTATTTTTATCCTACCAAATGCCACCCAGTTCGTCGAAGCAATGACCGATATCTGCTCAGAGGTGCTCAACTAAAATCGAAATCAAGAAACCAATAGTAAACTCATCAAAACAGCTTAAAAACGCTCGACGCTCGTATCGACAGTGGCAAGTCAAATACGCAACAGCGTTTGTTCAGCAACCGGGATTAAAAAATGAGGCACATACTGTCGTTACTCAGGCAACGGAAAAGCGCCACACTAAGCTACTTAAAAGGAAACCCGTATTTAAGTTTGTGTTAATCACGCAGCGGCACTTTCTGGATTTTTCAGCAGCTGCGGCGCATTCATCGCTATGGTCAATGACTGACTTTGTCGCTCGTCGAATCGCAACAACACAACGCCAGTAGAACTGAAAAACAGCGCCGTGACAAGGGCCTGCAAATCGCATCGATGCATTTCACGATGCCGCAGCACGAAATGCACCTCTCCAGCAGCTGTTGGCTTAAAGCTTAGAGGCTGCAACTGTCCATGAGCATTTTGTCGTTAGTAACATTGGTAGTTCCGCTGTCTCTAAGGGCTTCGTTCTATTGTAAATCTTTACAATGCTAAAGCACATCTTTAATTACAGTTGAATTACACCAAAATTACAATAGAACATCCACTGTAAGCAGATTTTTTATCTCTGTACGAAACTGCAACCGAATTAGTTATAATCAGGTGCGTTAACTGTACTTGATATCAAGTAACTTTGTTACTTTGAACCAAACATTTTAATGAAGGAAAATTAACCAAAGTAAATTTTTTAAAACACTATCGTGGACCTTACTGATTTTACAAGTTAATTTAAAGCTGGTTATTCTACAGTTTATAATGAGATTATTACTTTATTCCATATTTTTTACTTAATGGCTGCACACTTTCAGAGCTTTATTTATCACAGCAGTTGCTACTGATGTATTATTATGCATTTGATTGATTATCTGTTCAAAAGATTTCCAGCAAACATTGGCCCAATAGCTACAATCAGATTTAATATTGTGCATATTAATTAAGATAATCACCCTGAGCCGTTTGCATAAGCAGAACATCTTTGGTTTGTGATGTTCACCGTGTTCGCTGCGTGAGCAAGGCACCGGCTACTGCATCGTCAAAAGGAAATAATGGTCTCCGAAAGCAGATCCGCCTGTACCTCGTTCCTCCACATTGCACGTAGACCTCCTGATCGACCACTACCGTATTTTAGCTGTCACCCCCCCCCGCCCACAAGAAGATCACGGGCTGGAGAAAATGATGCACGCTCAACCCGATTGTCTAACAGGGCTAACTTCCTTTTCGTCGTCTCAACATCAGCTGAGGTCACTTGTGCCCGAAACAGAATAGTCATTCCATACGTGGTCCTGCAATTTAATGCCAGTTACGGTACAGAGCAAACGTTGCTGCAAGCAGTTCAACAGCTGGTTTCCCTCTCACCTGGAACAACTATCAGCATACCGTAAAACATCACTGACGTGACGGAGGCAAGGTAAAGACGGATTATCGTGGGAAGAAAAACTCGTTTCTCAGCGCAGATATTGCACCGGATTCCAAAAGCACTTAAGGCTAAACGATCCTCCCATTTAACTCTCAACAAATGGTAATATCGTTGGAGATGATGGCAACGATACACTTAAATTGTTTAACCTCCTAATGTGCTTCTCTTCTCCGTTTCATTTGTAGATCAGCTGTGCCAGAGGGGTTTCCCACAACTTTCAATATCCAGGCGTTAAGGATGAAGCCTGCTTTCGCAGCTGTGTTTTATACGAAAGCCATTAGACGACACAACTCACTTCCTGTACTACCTCATCAGGACAATATCATGTGCATACTCAAGGTCAGCATGTCAACTAGTCGAATGTTGTGAAATGTAGCTACACTCTAGAACGTGTATCTGCCGAGTCAGCACTGGCACTGTTACGGTAAAGAAAGACGAGAACAACGATGAATAACAAAGGCCAAAGCACAGTACGCTGATAAACTCAACAATTCATCGGAAACCACTGAAATCTCCTTTGACTTTAACCAAAGATATGTTTCCAACATGTGCTACACTATCGCTGAAAATAAGGTAGACTGGAATCATAAAAAAGTTTCAACAGAGTATTTCGAAGGAAGAAGTCATGCAGAAGGTGAAGGCCCTGCTTTCATCAGCGTTGGAGCAGATGCAAAAAACTTTAAAAATCTTTGGAAATAGTAAGGGTTCATGCCCCGCACCACAGTTTAAAAGTATTCCATAAAAACTTCGAAAATAGTTTCGGGGATATAAAATTAACATATGAATTAATATAAAATAAAAACACCATAGTTCTTTATTTGAAGAGACAATGTGTTTCGAATTAGTATGGCTAACAACGCATAAAAATGTCACTCAACAATCATATTATACAACGAACTGATGGTCTGAACTTAACTACATCCGTCTTCGGGAAAGAAATGAGCATTCCACCGAGTCATCACCATGCCGATTAAATTAACCTACTTTACTCTTATGTAATTCTAAAACGAATTTAGAGGATCCCGTTTACGATCACGCGGAATGCCATGCCACATTTTCACCTGGTTAAAATCTGTCAACATACTCTGCCTCATACAGTGGGTCAAAGAGTCAGTCATCCCCAGTTTGCATCTACTTTGTGAAGAAACTACAATTTGTTACTTATTGATTTAAATCGGTACTTAATGGGTATTTCTGTAATGTAACGTCATCTTTCACCGCGTTTTCATGTCTGTTTCGTTGAAACACACACATTTCACTTTGAAACTCACACTAAAGACTATTGATTTATATTCCATAGCAACATAGAACTTCTACATCCGTCCATCTCTGATGCATGCATCAGTTGCCACAAGCTTTCATTATTAGGATTGTTTCCTCCATTCTTCTTTAGTTCATCAAAATTAGTGACGTGGTTCACTGAGGCGAAAGGGAAGGCGTCAGGCTATGGGGCACCCAGAAGAAATATTTACTGGTTGGCCGCATAAAAAGAGAGTAGTATAAGGACATATCCACCAGGCTCTTAGGCTCTTAGGCAAAAACGTTCTCAGTCGACCGACGATGTCAGATTCAAACAGAACTCACGTGGTGATGCGTGCGTGTGACCTGAAAACAGGTCACAGGTATGACGACGGCCGGTGACTTGAGTCATCACGCGACGTCGGGTGCCAGGCACAAGCTGGGTGGACGACATTCGATATGCAAGGCGCGAGCACCGTCTCAATGCTACCTGCACACGTGAAAATGACGAAGACACCTTTCTAGGCTGAGGCGCCAAAGGAAATTCACTCAACATGTAAGAGTCATCGCGATGCGAACGAGGAGGATCACCACGTGACGACCAATGGACTACGTTTATCAAGATGTCAGCGAACCACTTCAACGACGGCCTCCAAATGGCATGCGAAAGACTCAATGACAATACGATATGCCGGCCTCAAACACTAAAATGACAACTGTAAACACAGGCTGAAACAAGAAGGCTGTATTCAAGAGGTAGCTTGAAGCTTTGAAGCAAGGATCGTCTAAACCGAATGTGGTAGAGATAATAAGTGAGCAAGGCGGCAGAGAAAGCAGTGATCAAGAGAGAGATGATTCTTGACAAACTTTTGGTGAGGAGATGGAGTTTAATAAGGTATTCTGGTAGAGCATCTACCACCTCTGAGATAAAAATAATAGCAATCTAAGAGTTCTGAGTGACAAGTCCGGACGTCCCCCTCTTATTGAGGATCAGGACATCTTCGACGATAAAGGAAGTACTCTGTAGAACTATGAAAACTGCACGAAGACTCCCTTGAAAAGAGGCAAAGCTGCTAAAATCCATGAAACTCACCTTAAAATGCTTGAAACTTTAGGAGAAAAAGCCATGCTGTGGTAAACACATGTTTGTTAAACTGCAGTGGTTATGGAAAAATCACAAATGGAATGGAGAATAAGTGCTGCTTGTCGTACCACTGTTTAAGAAGAAAGCTCACAGGGTATTACCACGATGAGTCTTCCAGGTAAATTCTACGCAAAGATGCCGTTGAATAACTGACTTTAAGACACAAGAATAGTAGGGAGGTTTCGGGCCTGGGTCGAAGCACCTTTGACTAGATCATCGCCGCATGCGAGATTGCTGGAGAATCCCAGATATTCGCTTGTCCACTTCGCATACGCTCTATTGAATCTTAGGAAGCCAACGACCGGAATCACAATCAGTAAGTCTCGAAGGCCAGTGGCTACAACCATCCAGTCACTGTATGCTGATTATATTTGTGTGTCACTGTAAATGGCGCGAAGTTGAGAACTTTCAGTTTTGGCAATGACCTCCCCAAGGCTACGTTCCGTCCTCTCTCCTCTTTGTGTCGTACATGAAAAGAATAGTCAGGCGCAGCCAGGGCCAAGATAATACCAACGTAAGTGAAGTCCAGAAGAGAAATTTGCTGTCTGTAAGCAACCTTGTTTTGCTGACATCTTCTAAAGCTGGTAAGATTCGTAGAATGCGTGTGAACGCATCTAAAACGGAAAGGCTAGTGCTTTCTCGTTCTCTTGCCCGTTGTTTTCTTCAGATGAACGGAGAGGCAGTGCAGCAGGTGGAAAAGGTAAATTACCTCGGAGT